CCTGGGTCGCTATGGCATCTTGCTCGGACAGCCAGGCTGCTGGCTGTCACTGGCGGCTGTAAGGAGGAACGCTCCGTTCCTTCTCACAGCCGCTGCTGAGTTGGTGACAACCAGCAGCTTCGCAGGAGGTGGCTGGGCCCGTCATCGGCAGTGATCGAGGAGGCGGGGCCCGGCGATCGAGGGGTGGGGCCCAGCGACTGAGGGGGTGGGACCCGGCGATCGAGGAGGCGGGGCCCAGTGACGGAGGAGTCGATCGCGGAGGAGAAGGAGGCGGACAGAGGATCAGGGCTGACAGGTAAGAGGGCTTGACCGCCCGCCTGAGACCCTGCAGAGCCTACCATAGAGAGTCTATGGTGGGCTCTGCAGGGTCACCCTTAGGTGGGCTGTTTGGGTTATCAGGTGGGCGTAACTAGAAATCACAGGGCCCCATACAAAATTTCACTATGGGGCCCTGTGATTTCTAGTTACGCCCCTGGTTGTCACCTGCGCAATAAGTCCGTCCGTGACATTTCCCGGCTACAAAATATTCCGCCGCGGTCACCTGTTACTGGGATTATAACAAAGTGGAAGCGACCGTGGAAGCAACTCAGCCAGGAAGTGGTTGGCCACGTCACATGACAGAGCGGGGTCAGCGCATGCTGAAGCTCGCGGCGCGCAGAAGTCGCCAGTCAAAAGCTACAGAATAAAAAAGTTTGTCTGGCTTGCTATAGAAAACTGGTCATGTGACCTAAATCCTAGGCAGCCTAGATCACATGGTCTCTGGCTATCAGAAGCACTGTGGGTGTTTCATGTCATTACAGACTGCAGACCTTCAGTTAGACAGACCCTGTCTGAGAGACCTGAAATAAGATAATAACATTGTTGCAGACCGGATCCCGTCCTAAAGTCAGAACTTTATTGTTCTTTGTATATCTACACATTCTCCCATACAGGGACCCGAACGGGCCAGGGCTGGAGCGATGGCCGCGGTACGAGGAGGACGAAGGTTACCTGGAGCTCGGCACGAAGCAGAAAGCGTCTGTGAGGCTGAAGGGGAAACGTCTCCAGTTCTGGACGGAGATCCTCCCCCAAAAACTGCGAATGTCTCAGCAAGAGCGCGAAGAGCTGTAAATGGAACTCGG